ACCTAAAGCTTTTAGTAACTTTTAATCGCTAAGGTCTTCAGATTGTTCTGACCAAATTCTAAGCTGATCGGATTAATTCCCTAGGAGGAGTTGGAAATGGGAAAAAAACACGAGAAATTCATACAAAATTCAAAATGGCTGACTTCCGGTTGGGTTTAGAGCATGGTCCCAAGAGACTTTATTTTAAGTCCACATGTGATACATGTGCCTACCAAATTTTGTAAATCTATGTGAAACGTACAGCGAGGGCTGCTTCGTCAAAATATTGTAGGGGGCGCTATTGAGCCGATTTGCCACTCTGTACCAATAAAATCATATTATATAACTACATTTTGGGCTTTAAATGTTTATGCCAAGTTTGCTTATGTTGCGAGTATTTCTAGCCTCTCAAAAACACCTTAATGTTTCATGGTGAAGAATGCGTCGCCACGGCAACAGCTTTTCACGAAATAACAAGCTTTGAGTAACTTTTCATCACAAAGGTCTTTAGACTGTACCGACCAAATTTGAAGATGATCTGATTAATTCCCTAGGAGGAGTTCGTTAAAGTGTAGCGCCTGGAAATGACAAAAATGACACGAGAAATTCATAAATAATTCAAAATGGCTGACTTCCGGTTGGGTTTAGAGCATGGCCCCAAGAGACTTTTATTTAAGTCCATATGTGTTACATGTTCCTCCGAAATTTCATACATCTAGGTCAAACATACTGCGAGGGCTGCTTCGTCGAAATTTTGTAGGGGGCGCTATTGAGCCGATTTCCCACTCTGAACCAATAAAATCATATTCTATAACTACATTTTGGGCTTTAAATCTGCTTGCCAAGTTTGCTTATGTTTCGAGTATTTTTAGCCTCTCAAAATGACCTTCGTTGTTAATGGCGAAGACTGCGTCGCCACGGCAACGGCGTTGGACGAAACATCAAAAGCTTCATGAACTGGTATTATGAACTTCTTACATTTGTGTGGAAGTAATTTGATGTTGATTTGATTTACCTCCTAAGAGAAACAAGCCAAAGTATAAAGACTTTAACTTACTGTTAGCAGTAGGTGGCGCTATGACTATGATTCAAAATTGGCCTGCAGATGTCTTCAGGCCTGGAGTCTAATCAAACGTGAAATCTATTAAAGATCTGATGATGTGGAGTCGAGTTACATCAGTTTATTCGTTCATGGCGAAGGATCGAAATTTGCCGAGCCGCCACGTCGCCGCCCTTCAACAACTTCTTACAACCTTCACAATGAAGCATTATCAAGGTCTTAAGGCTGTTCTGACAACATTTTAGAGGGATCTGATTAATCTGTGAGGAGCAGGATGTCAAAGTACACAACTTACAACTTCCGGTTGCCACTAGGTGGCGCTATTACTATGATTCTAAATGATCATATAGATGTGTTCCGGGTCAGGATGTTATGACATATGAGAGATTTGGAGCAGATTCGACAATGTACGGCCGAGTTACAACAACTTCCTGTTTCACGGCGAATGGTGTTTTTTTGACGCCACGCCACGGATACATAGTTTCGATAACTTTTTGATCTTTGAGTAATTTTTCGCTGCCAAGGTCTCAAGAGCATACTGACCGAATCTGAAGTTGATCGGGTCAAATCTCTGGGAGGAGTTCGTTAAAGTACGACGCCTCGAAACGGTCCAAAAACGTCATAAAAGTCAAAATGGCCGACTTCCTGTTTGGTTTAGAGAAAAATTCCAAGAGGATTTTTTGTACGTCCCATCACGATCCACATTCCTACCAAATTTCACACAGCTAGGTGAAACCCGGTGTTGGGGCTACTCAATAGGGGGCGCTATCGAGCCAATATTTCATACCGCAGCTGGACACCCCAATCAGACTGCAATTTTCTCAAATTCTGGCTTGCGTGCCAAATTTCGACATTTTTCCAGTATCCCAAGCACCTCCTTTTTGCGACGAAAGACACGAAATAATAATAATAACAACAATAAACATTCGAAAAACAATAGGTCCTCCGCTCCGACTACGTCGGTGCTCGGGCCCTAAATATAAAGATCAATACAATGATACGTTTGGAAAGGAGGGTTTTAATTATTATTATTATTATTAATGTCGTAGACCAATCGATGATTCTTCATTCTTTACAATAAATATAATTTATTTCTGACTTCTTCTCTTGTAGCTGTTGATACTCACCTCTTCTGGTTTTGATCTTAATTTCACAATAAAGATCCATTCATTCAGTTTTTATTTGATTAGTACGGCACCATAAAGTCTTCCGTAGTTCAGAGCTCTCTGGTTATTTCTGTTGCTGAAGTTAAAATGTCTCATGTTGTTGTTTGACCTGCGTCTTCAGTATCTCTATTCTTTATGCACCAAGATCACAGTTCATAAAGAATCATCAAATGTAAAATGTCCGTCACAGTTTCACATGATTTATTTTCAAACTAATCATTTACAGTCAAAGAGGCGAAAGAGTTCTAGTAGATATTCACATATTCGGATCGTGAATGTTCTACCCAGTTTTGTTCAACAATCAATCAAACATTAACTTTCAGTCTTTGACATTCAGTCATTCGACACATTTCTGTTTGGCCTCAAACTAACTTTAAAGTCTCTTATTGAGTGTTCTAGTTTCACTCAATCATCTCTTTGCTCTGCGGAGTCCATTCGTTCCCACTGTAGCTCCACCAGAGAGCAAACATGCTTTTATTTGGGTCATTTCATGTTTTCTGTTTCCTGTTCCCTCGTTTCTTGGCGTTAGCATCTTCGCCTCTGTTCGTCCAGGTGTCCTTTAAAAGTCAGGTGACAGGAAGTGTGTCACAGTGTGGATTCTGGTCCTCGGCAGACTATCAATAAATCCACTTCGCCAGCAAATCACGGCCCTTCATCCCCGTCTGCGCTGTCGATACTCTGATTGGTCGTTTCCTCTGCACGAGGCTCGACCGACAGCCTCCGCTGAAGCAGTCCGATTGGTCGGACAGACGGGGGAGGAGCTAGCATTTAGCGGCGGGGGGTTAGCATCAGGCGGCGGCAGTGGCGGATCCCGGTGATGGCGGAGAGGACGACGGCGCTGGACAGCAGAGAGACACCACTGAGGAAGAAGGTCGGCGAGTAGCTTCCTGTGACGTCGACCAGCCAACCTGCAGCAAGAGAAGAACAAGTACGTTTTATTATTTATTCAACTGTATCATAACTTTGAATGCAACTTCATCCCCAGGTCTTAAAGAGTGGGGGAGGGGCTGAGAGATGAAACCACGCCCACTTCCTTACGTTTATCATATTATCATAGTTTATTGTATTATTATAGTTTATTTAGTGGTGGGCCGTCAGGGCCTGCAAGGCCTTCTCTGCTGGCCTAAACAGAATCACAAAGTTATATCTATTTTATAATTTAATAATCTTTCTTAAATACACTACATGTATTATAATTTATAAACATATTTTCCCCATTATCTTATGTTCTCATTGCACAGCTACTGTCTTCCTCAGTTGCTCTGCTTCCAGTGCAGCTTGTTTTAAGTAGAGCTTTTATCCAATCAGATCTCACCTCTGTGTCTCTAGGTAAGAACAGAGGCAGAGGCCTGCAGACTCACAAGTGAATCCATGTGCAGTTTAAGTGAATGGGGACGATGTTGTTGATTGTCATCATGTTCAACCAATCAGATCTTTAGTTTGACATGTTGGGCGTACATGTCAGAGCCTGCTAGCTGGCCTAGCCATACGTGATTGGTCAGTGGGCTAGCCTGACATGTTGGGCGGTGACAATCCCAAAATCTGCTGTGTTTCAGCTGCAGGACAGCAGTGAAGGCCAAGGTATACAATGCACGGCCCGCCACTGACTTTATTATATTATTATTGTTTATTATATTGTTATAGTTTAAACGACCCAACACTATAGAAAATGTACAGTTTTTATGTAATAGTATATCATATAGTATCACTGAAATAATGAGTACTTTTACTTTAGTAGAACTTTAATCTGAACACCAATAAACCTAAACACATTGTCTTTAAACATATCGTATCATTCAAAGTGTATTTCCTGTATTTGTTTCCGTTGTCTCCAGCTAACGAGGACAAAAGCAGCTGATTGTTAAAGAACAAGTCACAAAATGATCAAACGTCAACTCCTCACCTCCGATCGGCGGACTGATGAGGTAGGGGATGGCGTGGAGGAAGTAGACCACGCCCAGCGCCGAGGACAGGTACGGAGATCCCACCACGTCCGCCGTCACCACGGGGATCAGTGCCACGTAGGCACCGTCGAAGTAACCGTAGAGGACAGCGAAGGGTACGAGGAGCGAGAAGGACCGGAGCAACGGCGTGAAGAGACAACAGAGACCCTCCATCGCCACCGCCAAGACGTAGGACGCCAGACGGTACGGCTTCAGACACCTGGGACACCGAGACACAACGTTATACTTTAACACACTTTAACATACTTTAACATACTTTAACATACTTTAATATACTTTAACACACTTTAATATACTTTAACATACTTTAACATACTTTAATATACTTTAACACACTTTAATATACTTTAACATACTTTAATATACTTTAACATACTTTAACATTCTTTAACACACTTTAACATACTTTAATATACTTTAACACACTTTAACATTCTTTAACACACTTTAACATACTTTAACATACTTTAATATACTTTAACATACTTTAACATTCTTTAACACACTTTAACATACTTTAATATACTTTAACACACTTTAATATACTTTAACATACTTTACCATACTTTAATATACTTTAACACACTTTAACATTCTTTAACACACTTTAACATACTTTATTATACTTTAACATACTTTATTATACTTTAACACACTTTAACATACTTTAACACACTTTAATATACTTTAACATACTTTATTATACTTTAACACACTTTAACATTCTTTAACACACTTTAACATACTTTAACACACTTTAACATTCTTTAACACACTTTAACACACTTTAACATACTTTAACACACTTTAACATTCTTTAACACACTTTAA